ACACACACACACACACACACACACACACACACACACACACACACACACACACATACACACACATTTATAAAAGCGATAAATTAATGTATATAAAATAAATTAAAATATATTTATTTTATTGATTTAGGAAGTTAACGAAGCAGTAATGCGCGAGTACTTGCAAAGAGTGTATTCAAATATCTTGTCGCATCCTGACATACTTGCACTAGGTGAGGGCATTGCTCAGTTGCTGGTTCAACAGGCACAGTCGATTGTGTTGATGCACCGAGCAGTAGAGAACGTGCAACGGAAACTATCGCAAACCAAAGAATCTCTGCGATATCGCATCGAAAGCGAGCATCCGATCCTGTCACGGATACAACCATGGATGCGCGATCGCATGCGTGAAGCCGAGGAGAATTTTATCGAAGAATGCGAATGGAGTGCGCACGAAGAAGCTCTTGCACTCTGCAGCCATCAGAATCTCACACAGACCGTGTACTTTCTCAATCGTGATTTAACTTTCATGAAAGAGGTATCTAATGTCCAATCTTGGGATTTTATTTTGGAATTTGTTAAAAACTTGGATTTTTCTGTTTCAGAGAGAACCAGTTCTTCTGAAAGAACTGCGGAAGGTGAAAACCCCGACGAGAACTTTCCAATGGCCGACCCAAATCTGGCTACCAAAGAACTGGATAATAAGACGCAATTTTCAAGGTCAGTCCGAAATCATTCCTACTGTACTGAGCAATACTCCGACTTCTATCACGACGCCTCGCGCTGATCCCAGTCAACCCGTCTTTTTGGTTGAAAGAGAAATTGTACACACAACTACAACAAGGTATCTCAATCGATCGAACTATTATTAAAATTCTCGTGCTCGGTATTCTAACGATTTCGACAATGTATAATAGATGGCCGATGTGGCGCTGGATAAATTATATCGCCAGAACATGGTGTTGGACATGGAATGCAATGTTCTTGTTGGGTGTAGCCGTACCATGGTGTAGTCCAGTATCTTTCCGCGCTTTATTATTGATACAACCATTTACACCCGACCTGGAATTGAGTCAACTAAATGGAACATTGTTTCCGAGAAAATCATCTCAAATGCCTACTCTCTGTTCTCGACTAATAGCACTGTGGAGGCATATTAGTAAAAGTCGAACGCACTTTGAAACTGAACCAGATACAGGTAAAAATCACCGATTATTTGTCAGTCTTGAACACAGCCTTAAACCGGAATAGTAGTAAATCACAAATAATTTAATTCTAACAAATAATTGGCGCACAATTAGTTTGAACTGGAAATTGTATAAATTTGCAAAAGAAATATGAAGTCTTGATCGAATATGCCCTTTTTGCATTTACGTGTGTATGATTTTACAAGATTTATTAGATTCTAATATCAGGAAAATACATTCTAACAATATTTTTTTAGGATTCATCGGCAAAGGTATGACCAGACATTTAAATAGGCTATGGAACTACGGTGCAAAAGGTCTATTAGGCACACTCATCATTCTATTCGTGTTTCCCATCGTGTGCGTTCTGGCGAGCGTTAGTTCGCTGGTTATCACTTTTACTGCGATCTTGTGGTTAGTTCCTCGTGTATTAGATCTTTAGTTTAGTTTGACTAACTAAATTAGTTTTCTTTGAGTAGAACGTAATTGAACTTAACTTATTATTGGCTATTTCAGGATGCCTCTGGTCACAATGACGTTGCATGCGTTCATGGCTCTCGTGATGGATCTGGATAGTCCTGAGCCGAATCGCAATCGATATTTCGTGGTGATGGAAGCATTAGTCTGGAATATCGGTATTCAAGGCTGTCTGCAACCGATAGCGGCGTTATTCGTAGCTCTTGCCCTATGTCCAGTCATCTCATTCGTGATACTTACAAGTAAATAAAATATAGAATTTTGTCGAGAGAAGAGAGAAACGAGAAAATACATTCGAAATAATTCTATTTTACATAAAATAATTATTCATGTAGCATAATAGCCAACGCGAGATATTACTGCAATAGTCTATTTATCCTTCATATATAACGATAATATAACGATAAATGTTTCATTATATTAGATTAGGTCATTTTCAGTATTAGAACAAAAATTATAAAATATCTATTTTTAGTCTTACATTATTTAATATTACATAAATTTTATATATACTTGTATGATGTTCTTGTAATCTCATTTTTCAGTACCAGTAGAGTGTTGGCAATCATTCCTTTCGTTCTATAAGATTACATCTATGTTGTATTATCAGTTCAGATTTTTCTAAAAATTGAATTTGACATCTTTAATGTTTCTTAATTTATAGAAATCCAAATTTAAAGAAATTGGGACTTATGTGAGAGACATTAAAAAAAAACAAGATAAATAATAATCTTATAGGACGAAATGAGAGAAATGATTGCCAACATTACTAGTATTGAAAAATAAGACTACAAGAACATCATACAAGTATACGTAAAATTTAGCGTTAAATAATGTAAGACTAAAGATAGATATTTTAGAATTTTTGTTCTGATATTGAAGATGATCTAATCTAAGGTCGAAACGTTTATCTTATTGTTATATTATTGTTATATGTGAAGAATAAATAGACTATTGCACTAATATCTTGCGTCGATTTTTATGCTCCTTGAATAATTATTTTTTACTTGGTCTGAAAGTTCGATACTATATAGAATTTCTATTTTGTAGTTGCTGTGATACGTTATTGGGTCAGAGTGCTCTGGGATACGGCTATGTTCCACTTAGTGATCAAAAATAGAGGTCGAATACCAGCGAGCGACAGTTTTGTCGTAAAGAGAATAGCTGGACCGGGACTAGCTTCGGATTATTATTATCAAGTGAGTATTACACTTTTATACGTGTATGTGAGCATCATAAATTGAGGAATAAGATTTAACTGAAATTATTCTCATTAGATACGAGCGGAACAAGCATTGGCCGCGTTTGAAGCGAAATTAGAATTGGACGAATTGCTGGCTTATCAACAAGAAACTGAAAGATTAATCACTCAACCGCAGAGAGATTTTACTCAATTTGTCGAAGCCTGTTTTGGTCCATTCGCTGCTAGTCTAGCCAAGACAAAGGATCCGTACAAATCGCTTGAGAAAGAAGCCAAAGATTTAATCGCTGTGTTGCACGAGAAGCTGGATCGACGAAGAAAGAATTTGCAGACAGGCCTCGGTGTTGCGGTGCGGAGTAAGATAAAATTAACCACTTTCGATTTAAAGGTAATTATTTGCTAAAAATCCTACATCGCATTATTTTAATTAATTACAAATTCGTACGTGCGTGCAGTCCAGTTACGGTACAATTAAAATAACATTGCAGGTGGTTATACAACAAGGCGCATTGATGTTAGAACGTCTCTATCCCACTCACGTTTTGGCGAGATTATCTGGAAATGAGGAAGACTTTTGGGAGAACAAAGGTTTAGGGATATGCGACTGGGCGGGCTTGGCAGGGCTTATGTATGCCGATATCTTCAGTCTAGATTTTCTACAACCACTCGACGATTCTGATACAAAATTCAGATTGGAACCGCATCCGGGAGTCGATTTGTTACGATACACGGACATAGTACACAGTACTGAGCTTGGTGGCATTAATGGACCCGATTTACTCGGCGCTGTTTACGCACCACGTGGGAATATCCAAGTGCACAGCCCATATCTCGAGGTATCTGCTTTCAATCCGAGAGCTAAACAAGCTAGCAACAGCAGAAAGTCTGACAAACGATGGTAATTACTTCTTAATTATATGATAATTTTCTGAAAGGAAAAAAAAACACGTATAAAACATGATTCTTCGCAGTGATACTAACGGCCTGTTAACATCAACGAAAATTCGAAGACGCACGATGACGAATGAGAACAGCGCGGAGGGACGGTGGCAGCCGTGGAAACGTCAAATTCATCCGTATAGTGCGGAGAAATTGGTGATACCTCTACCGATTCCGCATCCGGCTCACATAGCGATGACCATACACAATCGCGATTCGGAGGATCCGATACCGCTCGACTCCGAACTGTGTCAGAACATCCTTCGAGCCATCGAGGAGTCGCCCGGCGAGATGGCGACGGAATATGTGAGTCGATACAGAGGTGGCGGTGGCGACTCCAGCTTCGACTCCGTCGCGTCGCAGTCATCGGTCTCGATCGACACTGGTCTAAACAAGGAAAACGACACAACGCAGGAGACCGCCGCTGCGACCACCGAGAGGGAAGGCGAAACCTACCACTGGACGCTGTCAAATTGGGGCGGTGGCATAACGCGAAGACGGAATAATTCTGGATCCATAAAGGTTGATCTAGCGTCACCAGAGGATGTCACCCTCGACACAGATACCACCAGAGTGATGTTCAGCACATACGGAACAACCGTCTAAATTAAGTCCGCTATTATACGCGCCGAATAAAAAATTATTTCATTTCGCATTTAAATAATGTTAAAAGAAAGAAAGAGAAGAGGGAAAAAATAACTCTTTTTGCGAATCCGATTTTAGAAAATAACTTTTGCCATTTAAGACGATGCGATGTAATAATTAAATATTCACGTTATTCGCTCTCAATTAAAAGTAACGATCGGTATATCATAATACAGATTAAGCGTTTAATGTATTTACGATCCTAATCAAAAATATAAATTTCGAAAGGAAAAGCATATTTATGGATTTAATTGCCCTATGAATACATACATGTAATCGAATAGTTCCCAGTGAATTACAATTATTTGTATTGTCACAAAATTTAATAGTGTGAATCTATATTCAAATTTTATCCGAAAATCTGATAGATATACTCGCCGAAGCTGTCTCTTCGATACCGAAGCTCATAAACAGAATTTCGATTATCGGACGAATACCAGTTTAACAAGGAATATTATGCAAGCGCAATGCAA